ATAAACATAACAGTCCTGGCGGGTCTTTTTATTATTAATTGTAATAATTATTATTATTATTATTATTATTATTATATTTTCGCCTCCCAGGCCCTGATGTGGGTCAGTGATCTGTGCTCGGGTGGGCTAATCCCCGAAAAAAAAAAACAGGAGTTGGAACAATGGCAAACAAAGTGGAGGCTTAATGCTTCCCACTTTTCGTGTTTTAAAAAATGCACACAAATAATTTTACCTCATCTTTTTTTTTATATAACTAAGAACACTGATCCTGAAGAGCTGATATATTTTTAAACATTTCTAGGAGGACTGTACAGTGGTGCAGTGTGGTGCACTTCAGACTACCGCCTTCACTTTCCCAATATTAGGTTTGGTACCTATTCACAGCTGAGTGGACTTAAGATGCCTCGAGCACGGACCAACAACTCGTAGGACAAGAGGAGAGCGTTGTATCCACTCAGCAAAAACACACACTTGTTTACATAGCCCAAAATACTGTAGTGAAACAAAGAAATGTTCACAAACACACATTCACATGTAAACAAACGTAGTTGAATATAAACTATTCATTAATGCCCATAATGCTTATTGTTTTGCCTACTTAAATAGGGAAGAATGAGTCAAACGACGACACCATACAAAGAAGCTAACACTGAGCTCAGTTGTCAATCAAGCTTTTATAACTGGTTTAATTGGGTGCTGTAGAAGGGGAAAATACCTTTTTTGTTATTTGGGAAGAAGTATTTTTTTATCGGTTATTGTCAATAGAATTACTGATCTTAATTCAATTTTGTAATAAAACACCTGCTTGACCTTACCTGAGGCGTTAATGAACAGAAAATCACAGTTCCTGTGAAAGAGCATACACGTTAAGTTACATTGTTGTGAATAACAAGCAAATAAGTACAAAATAATTGTCATTTCTATACACAAGCCTTCTTTATATATTCCTTAATAAGTGCTAGTTATCACAACTCATAATAATCTCTGGTAACACGGTAAATCAGGAAAATATTAATTAACTAACCTTCTGTTTAGATTCAAAGGTCCAGCCATGAATCAGAATAACCGTCGGGCCAAGGACCACCAGTATAAAAATGACAAGGGATCCTTTAGTTTAAGCATATAAATTTTCCATAGAATACATAATTATTTGTAGCTAAATATTACCACAAATTGTATTTATAATCTTTAAATATTTCATCAGAATAATGACCATTAAAGTACCATAACACTAATATGAATAAGGAAACTTGCGGAACGACAGATGTGGAGATGTCTCTAAAGAGCAGTATCATTGTTGACAAGTATGATTCTGAATAGATTTTGTCATTAAGAGTTAAGGAGGATCAACCTTAAGCACCTACTCTATTGTGGTAGTAAAATACCATTAGAGAACGAACGTGACTATTGCAAAACGTGTTCAGTTGAAAGAAAAAATGTAAAAATGAGTACGAGCGAGAAAAACAAACTTTTTAAAGGCATTTTTGGCATGTTCCGAGATGTTTGGCCTCAAGAGCGATTCCAGGGTCCAACAAACCAACGTAATTTCAGTAGAAGACGCTTGGCTATCCATCCAAGAAATTCGTTTACTCAACCTTTGGTACTATGAATATATCCAAACTCAAATTATACATATACAAAGAAAATTTATATATTCGTACATAAAGTGATTATTCGAGAACTAAACACATGATAAGTATACTGAGGAATGAATTAGGAAGCCACGGTGTGCCATGTTCAAAGTCAAAACTATTCCTCAGATTTAGGTTACGTGTGTGGCCAAGAATTTTGCTGTTGTAAACAAGGATGTCACTTTTTTCTTTCGGTGAATTAGTTTTGTTAACACGTCGGGTGGCCCCTTGTTGACTTGGTGAGCGCTCTAAATATAAGTAGAATTATTTGTGTGTTCAAGTGTTCACTGGTTCCGTTATTAATTCACACACACACACACACACACACACACACACACACATTCCTGAGTGTATTCTGACCTGTAACACAACCACTGTAAGCTTCAGGTTGAGTGTCAGTGTCCACCCGCAGTTGCCCCTCTGTCTTGCAAGTTCCAGCTTCCAGAGCAACCCTGCAATCACAGCAACGACAGCATTATTCTCGCCTGTCAGTAACAGCAGTAAGTCAACTTAACACTTCAATCACAACAGTAAGTCAACTTAACACTTACATTCACAACAGTAAGTCAATACTTCAATCACATCAGTAAGCCAGTCTTGTATATCAATCGCAGCAGTAATAATCAACCCAATTTGTTAATCACAGCATTAACAGTCAAATCTTGTCCTTGTCAATCGCAACATTAACAATTAACCTAGCCTGCCAATCACAGCTATCAATCTAACCCTTTATTTAACAGCAACAAGGCACTTGTCATAGCAGTCATAATTTGTCTTGCCTGCCAATCACGGCAATAAACCAACCTAACCTGACAATCCCACTACATATAATCAACCAAGTTTGTCCATCTAACATGTTAATAACATCAGTACACGTCAAACTGCCAATCGCAGTAGTAACAGTAAACTAGTCGCCAATCACAGCAGCAAGGGTCAACCTAACTCATCAATCACAGCAAGGGTAGCATGCACTGTAGCCCCTTTTAGTCGTAACAGGTAGTCAAGTGAGTCCCTGCAGCAGGCATGGTACTTGGGAGGCGGGAGGGACAAGCCAGCCCGTGTGAAGGTACACCACGTTCCATTGTCTGGGGGTGAGGTGGGGAGGGAAGCATGCAGGGACCAGACACACACACACACACACACGTGCGGGAGACCTGCTGCTAGCTAGCTGGCCACTGACGTTGTGTATGTGTCTGTGTACCCGCATACCTCTGTGTAGTTCCGCCTGACCATGTATACATTCACTCATGTGTACGGGGAAGTGTCTATACTTAGGCACACAAATCCCAATAGGACATGGGGTAAACACATTCTGAACATACTCAAGTATTCTCTTCACCTCCACTTTTATCCTAGGGTAGGTGGGGATACGTTTAGGGTTTTACCCCCGACGAGTACACGATGACACGCACGACCACACACACAATAGACAAACCAATAACGAACATTCTCTATGTTGTAGTATGCAGCAGAGATGCCGTTGATCGGAATTTCTCAGACCCATGAGTTGCAGCACCATATGTCGCTTAATGAAGCTTTTCTTAGCCGAGTTAGGGTCTCACATTGCGAGTAAATCTACTTGTGGAGTATGTGAGGTCTTTAGTGAAGGTAAAGCCCAGCTCGCGGAACCCTTAGGGAAGGCTAATGTCCCAGATACCTCTAACTCTTACTCAACTTTTAAAAGCTGTTGCCACATTTGAAATAAATGTCAAGGAAATTTTACCTTTTAAATCTGTTATGAGGGAAACGTGCGCTTTATAAAACTGAAGATGTCCTGTCAGTATATTTATGAATAATGAAAATGCAGTCTTAAAAGGGTCTCGCGGCTACACTTGAAAACCTTTGGCAAATTGGACAGATCGAGAGTGAATGGAATGTTTACTATAAAGAAGGCCTAAGAACGAGACGAAAAACCAAATCATGTGGTAACGGCAAACACAACAAAGGGAAACTGCCAGTGAAGAAAGCGATATATATATATATATATATATATATATATATATATATATATATATATATATATATATATATATATATATATATATATATATATATATATACAGAGAGATAAGTGTTAAATAGAATGGATAAAAATATACAAATAAAGTGTGAAGAAATAAACAAGTCCTAAAACACTAAGTCCTATTGACTATACCGGTTAAACAACTGCACTAAACTTGAAGCAGTGCTCCAGATATAATCAAAACGAAACAGTAATGTGGAACAGGGGTGGTGGTGGGGGGAGGAGGAATAGAGTAGGAAGAGTTAAGAGTAGAACATTGTGAAGGATAGAGTCGAAGGTCGCATATGGTAGAATTATGTACGCAACAGTTATGCTCGTACAATGCTTAGAGCGCTGAAGGACACTCTCCTATGGTGCCACATATGTTTAAAACCTCCTTCTTCCTTATCACAATGAACAAAGTTGTATACAGCAGTTACGCAGTCAACACTAAAATACATAACATATCAAAATATATTTACAATACTCGCAGAAAAGTGTTCAGTACACAACTGAGTACGTACGAAGCTTAATGATCTGGGACGAAACAAAATAGACGATGAAAGTACAACAGAGATACAAGAATGTGAAATACGTAACATATAAATGAAATTTAATCTATTTCTGGGATAACACTTGTCTAAAATATCTATATCACGCCGTGACAAATGCGGTTTGTGTTAGAGCGTATTAAAGTGAAAGATGATGATCTGGAGTTATTTAGGACATGATGAGAAAGAATGAAAACAATAGTATGTGCACACATTCACGAACCTAGTATAAGAACTTTCCTGTTTAGAGTAAATTTAACAAATAAGCTGCAGTGATACCTCAGGAAGTACAGGCATAGACGATGAGCTATGATAATCACACTTGCGTTAAGCTGATATGTATTGACTTAAGAGAAATAAGGAATTAAGGAAATGCGAAGTAAAGGGGAGGAGACAAAACTTGGAGTATTGGCCCCTCGACCGCCGTCTGCCTCCCTTCAGCTCAACACCATCCCCACACATTCCACAGTAACCAAACGCTACTCACTCGCATTCCATTGATGGATATTTGTGTGCAGAATAAGGTGGCTTTCTATTGGCTAGTATCGTGAGAGTCCTTGTCTCTTTGTCCAATGAGCGGCGGGATTTTGTTCACCCGACCAATAGGAACATTTGTAACATTTACTGCCGCATCTCGCATAGAAGTTTCTTGATATTACTTTTGAGTGAGTGGACTGAGTCGTGTGTGTGAGCTGAACCTCAATCATGTGTTTTAAGTGGATTAATTAGTGACTTTGTGATTACGAAACAAATTCTCCTTCCCTGAAGATATATTAGTCACAAAGGTAAGAGAAGCAGGTCCGTAATAATATGAAAAACTCTTGAAAATTAGAGCGTAGACCGAAAAGTCCTGTTTGATTCTTAAGGAATTCTCGCTTCAAAATGGCGTCCTGCAAAAGGCTGAATAGAAATCATAACATAAGAATTAGATGGTCTCTTGTGAACATAGTGACAACAGCTATGTGTCTGGAAGCACGGCCATAGATCCCAGTAGGTATTGGCAAGTGTAAAAGCTTTGAGAAATGAGGAGAGTAATGATGGTAGAGGTGCGTGTGATGCAAGGTATCGCCCGCCAGGCTGCTAACTTCCTGGCTCATGCACTTCACTCTCCCACTCGTATATCAGTGCCACTGTGTGCACTACATACCTTTCACACCTCCTCTTATTTCGGTTTAGCTGTTACCGAAAAATATTAAAATAGTAGGTTTGATGTGTGGGTGGGAAGTGTGGTGGGGGAGGCTACGTGATCTCGTCTAGTGAGTGCTGGTGTGTTGTGGGCCTGTGGCTGTTTTTTGTATTAGAAAAATGGTTTCTCTGCAGTTCATTTTACGTGTGGACTACAGCTGTACACTGTGTTCAACTCGTGCTAGTGAAATTGGCTTAAATTTGACAGTTGTTGGTGATTGTGAACAAGGAAGTTGTGTTATAGTTGTGTCCAGGTCTGATATTTAATAAAAAAAAAAGTTCTCAAGTGTATGCAGTGGTAAAATTACAGTACAGTATCTGTATTAATGTTTGTTGAATTTGGTCCTGCAACATTGAAATTCCAGTGTTGAATTATATTTTTTACACAACTAAGTAAATGAAATTTTTGAGATAATCTTTTGTGAAATGTAGCTTGTCTTGTGTGATATGTTAAGGAAGACTGAAGGCGGCTTCTAAGCTTACCTATAGAAAAACTTAAAAACTGTAACCCATTTTCTTGGTAGGGAGTATCCCTCAAGCACTGGCTTAATACAATTGTGGACTACCATACAGCATAGAAATTCTTAACCTCTGACAAAATAATAAAATAAAGTGAACAATGTTGTGTGCAAATAAAATTTGTGAAATCGTTTCATATGGTACGAGTCATCCTTAGTTTCGGAATAGATATAGGTACAGCAGCTATATTGACGGACTGTATTGTTAATGGTTAGGTTATGTTACATTAGTCAGAAAGAAGACCATAGTAACAATCATTGTATAGTCTGTCCACCACATGTGCACATTAGGTTGCTGTACCAATGAGCAATGATGTTTCGCATATGGTTATTTTATATAGGAATCACTGAAGGTTATGGTGCCTGTTATATAGGAATCACTGAAGGTTATGGTGCCTGTTATATAGGAATCACTGAAGGTTATGGTGCCTGTTATATAGGAATCATTGAAGGTTATGGTGCCTGTTATATAGGAATCACTGAAGGTTATGGTGCCTGTTATATAGGAATCACTGAAGGTTATGGTGCCTGTTATATAGGAATCACTGAAGGTTATGGTGCCTGTTATATAGGAATCACTGAAGGTTATGGTGCCTGTTATATAGGAATCACTGAAGGTTATGGTGCCTGTTATATAGGAATCACTGAAGGTTATGGTGCCTGTATATATACTGTATAGCAAATTTCTATTGGTGTTTCATATGGAATTTTATTATTCCTTGATTTATAAACTCCATATTAAGATATATAGTATGGGGCATTTAGTTGTCCTATGCCAGTTTAATAATAGGCCTGTATTCTAATAATATACTGTATAAAGGTGTGTATTTGGATTGATACTCTACCTACAGAGTTAGGTTTGTAAATATTTTTAGCTTCAACACATTGATGGTTGACTTAAAAAAGCTTAATTTTTCCCAACAGGTAGCTGTATTTGACAAGAGGTTACGGTAGGATCAGTAGCGTGGATGTTGTGTGCAGTCCATTCATCTCACCAGTGTGCAATACGAAATACCCATTGCAATACGCAACACAAGACATAAGTTTTTCTTCATATAATCTCAAGCAGCCAATGAGAACTTTCTGCTGTGTCTCTTCATCTCTGAAGAAAGAAAAGTGTTGCCTTTTCATGTGGTTTTACTGTGTATAATTGTGCTAGATAATGAGACAGAGAAAATTATATTTTTGAAAAGTGATAAATTATATTGAAATCAGCCAAAGTTATTATATCCAGGAATAGTATATATATATATATACATATACATATACTGTATATACATATATTCTATCCAAGAATGTGCCAGTGACAGAAAAATTCTATTGCATTCTGTGCTGTGCTCATCTGAGTACACTCTGAAGATCTCCCAGTAAATATAAGGTGAGTTGACTACACTTTTATAACCACATTTTTTAGTACTGTACTGTATACATATTGCGGAATCAATGTAAATAAGTTGACTTATTATTCCCAATTTATTTACAATTGCTAATACCATTTTTCTAAATTCAGACGTTTATGGACTGTCTAACCCTTTGCACACATACGGAAAATGTTTGGGTTGAGACACTGTTGCAGATCTTACTGAAAAGTACATACTGTATGTGATGTATATTTATTCTGCATGATATGGGAATCTGACTAATTCTGGATTCATCCCAGGCAATATAAGAATTCTTATACAGTACTGTACTGTAATGCAATGCCAATTCTGGAATTCTTCCGTATGTTTTTCATGGCAATAGAGTCCCTTGAAAAAAAAGGAAAGTACAGTACTTTCTGCAGTAAAGCACAATCAGATTGTAAACTTTCTGAAAGAGCCCAGGTTTGATTTGGGTGTGCTTGACATTATTGTGAAAAATGCAGCCGAGTTTAGTTGTATCAAGGGAAAAAAAATTTCATCTAGTCAACTTTCCTGAGCTCATCCTTATTGATGTTTTCTGCATTCTGACAAAGAAGCAAGTACTGTATGTAAACTTTGGTGTGGCAGTGCTATTTTCCATCTTCACCTCTCTGTCAAAGGAATGGTAACTACATACTGTATAGTATAGTACACTGTATATGTTGGGCTCAAAGACCGAAAATGACCAGGAAGTGGAATTTCTCAATATGTTAGGTTTGGTTAGATTAGTTTAGGTTAGGTTCAATTAGGTTTGGTTCAATTAGGTTCGGTTAGTTTAGGTTTGGTTAGATTAGGTTTGGTTAGCTTAGGTTTAGTTAGATTTGTTTTGGTAAGATTGTAATAAAAGTGTTTATTATACCTGTCTTTTATTTCTTCATAATTCTTTTTTCTCTATTTATTTACTTTAATCTCTCTTAATTTCTAATTCTCTTTATTCATGAGAGAGAGGGGAGGTGTGGAGGGGAGCAAGGGAGGCAGGAATAATGGCTGGTTGTGATCAGGCCACCCTCACACCAAGGGGAAAGGGCGGGAGAAGGGAATAAATGGGGGAGAATAGGCCAACATACAATAGCTGAGACTAGGAGACATTGGGGATAGTTATGTTATTACTAATGGGTCACTGTGTCACTGCATAACACCAAAGACATGTAAGGCGAATGTTTTACTCAATACAAAGAGGGGGAATTCATGACATTATTTAACGGTTCTTTGTTTATTGAACACTTTCAATTAAGATTGACAATTACACTTCCAAACAACACCTATTTTCCTAGCTTGTGAAACAGATGATACCTAAAGTGTACTTAAATATATACACCTCGCCATGTTGAAACCTGCAACCTCACTCATCTACACTTCACCATCGCTAACCACACACTGTCTTAAACAAAAGGCGCCCTATAGGACGCCACATTTTCATGACGTCACATCTCTCAGGCTCTCCCTATTGGTTCAGGCTTAAGGCCCTCACAATGTAATTGGTCAGTTTGAGTGGACACACTCTGACAGCTCTCTGTTTCTCAATTGAATTTTCATACATATTTTCTCTAAAACAAAATGCAAGTTACTCTAAAATCATGGCATTGCTACAAGATTAGGTTAGGTTTGGTTCAAGGAATTTCAAGACTCCAAAACTGTAGGGAAAACACGATGCAAATTTTGTTTTCAGGTTATTTTGGAAATGTCCACAATGCGTTGTGGTCACTCCCCCCTCCCCCCAGTGAGCGAATACATATACGTACTGTATGTAGAATTCCAAGAGGAGGTTCATATTAAATATATGAGTCAGTACCTAATCTAACATTACCTTATGGCTATTATATGTTTCAAGAATAAAGGCTGAGTGCTTGGGTCTCGGTGAAATTATGAAATATAATTTGGGCCTATATAAGAAGTGCTTGGTAATTTATAAAGAGGTAACAACTGCATTGGCTTTACCATACCATACCAAGGAGGATATAATACGAATTTAGAAATTTTATTAAAAACACACAAATTGTAACATGTCCTGTATGTTGAAGGATTTAAAAATACGTGTAGGGGGTCTGCGGGTTACAGGTGGATTCCGTTCTTGAGGATGTTCCTAAGTCGGATTTGTATGCAAGTCCGAACACATGCTATGTGCATACCGTACTTACAGAACAATGTTTAAAATCCCACTGTATCATAGCCTAAGTCCTTATATACATCTAAAATCATTTAATTTAAGAGAAAAGAAAAAATAGAATGACAAAACAGTACAGTCTTTCCGTGACTTACGACGGGGGTCCGTCCAGATGATCAGGTCGTAAGTCGAATTGGTCATAAGTCGAAAAGACGATAATAATACATAGAAATTCTAAATGGGTGTCTCTATTTCTTCTCAGCACCATGAGAACTCTCACTTTTACACTTGCCAGCCATTTCAAGGGAATTACAAACGAAAATTTTGTCAGTACACAGCGCGTTCACTAATGTCGGGACTTGAAAATACGTAATATGAAAAATATTTTATACGACCATGGTCGTCGTATGTCCAGGTTGTCGTAAGTCGAGGAGAGACTGTAAATGAAAGAAAAATGAGTCCTCGGGTAAAAAAAACTACTGTGAATTTCAAGTTTAACCCCGTTTGTATCAGTGGGCGTTTGTAAATCGGGGACCCCCCCTGTACATTTAATGTACTGAATATATGGTAGTATCAGGAGGAGTTCCAGAACCCTTGGACCTCCTTGATAAGGTAAATTAATATTTTATAGTGCTTTTGTAGTATGTACTCTGCGATATTTATTTCATTCTCTTAATTTTGACAAAAAAAAGTGGAAATGTGTGGAACTGTGGATACAATACACTGTACACAAGGAGGCAGCATGGCTGGTACCGTACTGCTCTCTACTGCCTTCACTCCTCCAAGTTGTAAACTAGGTACTCATTTACAGCTGGGTGAACTTCGAGTGCTTGAGAATCGATCCACTTAATTTTGTATTATAATGAATGTTGTATATTTGTTATTGTCACTGTTAATGTTACAGTTCTCTATCAAATGCTATTGGCTTCCACTTTGCAGCTTGAATTTATTTTGTAATTTTATATGATTTTTATTGTCGTATTCAAGTTCTGTATTACGGTATTAATATTTACTCAACACATTAATACTACAGTACTGCCATTAAACAGTACTGTACATCTATGGCAAAGGAGTTTTACTTTCTTAGAAGCAGCACTGTGTTCATAGACATTACAGTATGCTAATACTTATTGGTACTGGCGATATTTATAATTGTATTGCATATTCGGTTTTGTATATACATACTGTACTGTAATTCATTTAAATCTTTTTGAAGTGCAACAGTTAATGTAGCTAGAAGAAGCGGTGGCTTTTATCATCTGAAGGCTCATTTAGTTTCAAATATACAGTACTGTATAGAGCTGTACTATATTGATTTAGGCCTTTAAAATTTACATTTAATTATCTTATCATAAATTATTTCATGTGATGATTTGTATCACTGTATTGACCTGTAAACATGGATTCCAATCATGATGCATTATCTCTGTATGCTGTACTGTACAGTGCTTGTAAATAATAAATGTAGAAAATACTTAAATAATGTAATATAGAGTACTTGCCAAAATTTGTAAAACTTAAGGAGTTATACAGTAGATGGATTACTGCATCGGGAAACATTCTTTATAGCACGACATGAACTGCTTCTTCATACGTATACAGTATATCATGCACAGTATAGCTAGACTAACCACAGTCTTCATAGGCAGCTGGCTTTTATTATGATTGGAAGATTTGGGGTTCTTTTTCAGCATGGTGAACACAAAAACATGCTACTGTACAGTATTAAAAGTTACAGTCCAGTATGGTACCATACAGCATATAATTAACTACACAACATAGCTCTTATTATTTTTTCCAGCATGGCACAGTTATGCAATGATTTAGTGTATTCTTTTATTTTATTATTAATGTAGGTACAACTATACAGTTTAATAATGCCCATGTGTACTGTACCTAATACTGCTGCAATATTAACAGTCTTCATAAAAAATAACTATACATGTATATCCTCGAAGCAATTGAATCTTGTAGTTAATGGATTAGGGTTATATCTTTATTTAGTTTATATTGTTAGATAATATAATTCATCAAAAATGTCACATTTTCTTAGGCAAAACATTGCTGCATAGTGGATAATAGGCATACTTATATATCTAAAAGTTTTTTCAAGAATGCTTGTTTCCCCGGAAAATACACATGTACATACCCTGTGTATGGTATTTAAACTTTCAGCAACTTCAAGGGTCTTAGGCATCTCCAGAAACCCCCTGTACAGTATTGAATTCTCATATTGCCCTCATACTTCAAATTTTATTGTCATCTCAGATATGTCTTATAATTGTTGGAAATTAAAAATAAAGTGTTATACTTCAGATATTGATATTTATTTTTATAGTGTGGTACCAGTAGCTATTTATTCATGGATGGTCAGTCTTCAAAAGTGGATCATCATTCCCCAGAATACTGTACATGTTACCAATGTATAGTATAGTACTTGGTTTGTTTCAGTGTTTATTACTAGTGAATCATACTTGAACACTTGTCTTCAATAAAATATTTGTTTGTTCAAATTTGTCACTAGCTCTTCATAAATTTTCATAAGAAGTTACTCATCATACTTTTTTTTTTTTTTTTTTATATATATACAGTACCGTAAATGAATAGCAGAATCTGCCATGCAGTGATGAACTAAGATACTTAGCATTGGCTTCACAGTTGTGAAGGTTATCTGTCTCAATAAAAGTCGATAACAATTATTCGATACAGTACTGTATTTTGCTCCCTGTTTTAGGAGATTTAAAGTATGACCAGTGCTGTACTGTACATTTTTGTTAATATAATAATGTATTCCATCATTTCATACACAATACAGTATTATTATATATTGGTCTTTCATTACTTTTAAAAATAAAAGATTAGCTAAGTTGGCAA